AAGCAGAACTAAGGGTGATCTCAGGTGCAGCAAGATCTGCAGTGGCTTTACACTGGGTGGATCCCAGCTCAAGGCCAGTTCTCAGGTGACAAAGAGGCTCGAACCTGTTTTTCAGCCTCATCCTTCCTTTAATTCCATCTATCACTGCTCCACCCCACCAGCACATGGAAACCTGCCCAATCTGCAAAGGGCAAAGACCTGCTGTGAAGGCCAGGGGACGATAGCAGATGCTCACCAGCATTCGGGAAAGGGTGTTAATGCTTCAGCTTCCCTTGTGCCCCTGCTCACGCTGCTGCCACCTTGGAGATGTTTGCTCTTGGCTGGGCTATTGGTGAGGTCGTGGGAGATTCCATACTTTCTCTTCAGACTACCAGGCCTAAGATGGTAAATTTTCAATCCCTGGGCACTGCACCTATCCACCCCCAATCTGGTGTTGGGAAGGGTGTTAGGAGGGCTGGAGCTCTCCTCTCCAGGTTGCAATGTACCTCAGTTCCCTCTCTCCCACGCCTGACCTCCTTTATACACCACTCCCCACCACCACATTGCCTCCCTGGGAGAGGTATGGGACAGGACTTGGTCCTGGGCAGGAGCGTTACCACCACGGAGCATCTCTCCTGCCTCTTCTTGTAGGAACTACTTCCACCTGCCATACTTTGAGAAGAAGCCCTGCATCTATATCAAGAGTTGGTGGCAGGACCAACGCCGCAGATTGTATAACGCCAACATCATGGACAAGATTGCAGACAAGCTGGTCAGTACATGCCGGGGAGGGAGTGAGAGAGCTTGGGGGAATGAGGCTCTCAGGAGGAACATCCAGGCTCACTATCCATCTCTGCAGTTTGTCAGAAAACAGGGATAAAAAACTCAAGGGGCCACTAGCAAACCTGTGCCAAAAAGGAGGAAGTTTCCCAGTGCTAAATGTTCCACAGTTTGGATGTCCAAGTCCTAAGATCTCATTTAAATTCCTGTGGGTCTGACTCAGGTGTCCTCACCACAAGGAGCAAGAGCAGAGAGGTTTTATCCCTCTGGACTACTGGAGAGAACCACTTGCATGGCAGAACCTCCCCACTAGTGTCAGCTAATTCCTTTGTGACAGCTCCACATTGGCAGGGTCACAGCAGGATCTGCCAAAGGACATGATGGGTCCAGCCAAGAGAGTGTGGACCTTGGTCATCTAGTCTTGTGGAAGGTGGTGGAGCCTTTCCCATCATCCAGAGCCAGGTGCCTGCAGCCAAATGTGTGCTAGACCTGAGCCTTGAGACCTGCAGGTCTGGAGAAGTAGCAGATGCTCCCCGTTGGCAGCCCCCACAGAGCTGCTCTGTGCAGGGTTGGACCTCAGCAAGGACCTTGCCCCACTGTGGGGCTCTGCCTCACCACCCCCTCACCGCTTCCCCCATTTGATGCTGCAGGAGGAAGGACTCAACGACGTGCAAGAAATGATCAAGACCGAGAAGCCGCATCCGGAGCGGCGGCTCCGAGGGGTCCTGGAGGAGCTGAGCAGTGGGTGCTTGTGAGTAGAAAGACGGGCAAAGGTCTGCAGATCCTTGGTCTCTGTGGGCCTTTGGGCAAGGTCATGAGCAGTAGGTTACCTTGCCTTATCCTCTGGATGATGGGCAGACATTTCATCATGTTGGCCTGACGCCTATCAGCTGCCTTCTGTCTTGGAGCGTGGGCAAAGTGGTGCTTGCATCTGCACCCCAAAGACCCCAAATCAGTGGTGAAAGCCTCAGTCTTGTGGCCTCCATGATCTGTTACCTTGTCAGCACCTACTGTCCAGGCACAGCACTCAACATTGGGTGCAAAAAGGCCACTTGGCCTCAATCTTGTTGCAAACTGGGGGGTTACGAGAGCATTTTCCTCCAGTGAGGTGCTCTCCTGCTGGCAGACATCCAGCCGCTCACAGCTCCCTGGGGAGATCCTGCAGGCTCCCAAAGGATTCATTCTGCTGACATTTTCCACCAGGCGCTTCGTGACGTTGGCTGACAAGGACCAGCACCACTCTTCCCGCACGAGGCTGGACCGGGAGAGGCTCAAGTCCTGCATGCGGGAGCTGGTGAGTGGGATTCACCTGGGCAGGGATGAGGAAATTTTTTATGATGAGTGTGGTGAAACATCAGGACAAGTTGTCCAGAGAGATGGTAGATGCTCCATCCCTCAAAACATTCCAGGTCAGGTTGGATGGGGCTCTGAGCAACCCGCTCTAGCAGAAGATGTCTCTGCTCACTGCAGGGAGTTGGATTAGATGGTCATTAGAGGTTTCTTCCAGCCCAAACCATTATGTGATTTCGATTCATGAACAGGGGCTGGACTTGTCAATGCAATGGGGAACTTTAGTCCGTAGGCATGATGGTTTACAGTCTGTGGATTGGGAGTTTGGGGTTTAATTAACAGAGGAGATCAAGAGCACATGAGTCTTGCTCAGGACCCAGGTGGCACTTCAGTCAATGTTGCTGCCTCTCCTCTGATACATCCTGCTTTGCCTTGGAAAGAAATCTGGGAGAGCAGAGGAGGAGCTGCGTTGCTGTCCAACAGCTGAAGAAATGGGGAAGGAGTAATTAAGGGAGTAATTAATTAACCTTACAGAGCACAGCTGCTCTAAGGGTAGGTATGGCCGAGATGCTGGGGGCTGCTAGCCCAGATCCTTGTGAAGGAGTTGGATGTGCAGAGGTGTACAAAGAGCATGTGGCTTCTCCAGCTGGCACAGCCAAGGACACCAGCTCCAGTAGCCAGCTGCGTACTAGAGATGGGTAAATTTGGCGTGTGAAAGACTCCACATCACCTTTTCTGAACAGTCAGGTGCTGAGTCACAGCAGAGTCAGCAGAAGGGGAGAGACTATCCTTAACACCAGGCTAGCAGCCACCCCAAAATGCCCTAAGAACAGGGGACGCCTCTCTGTCCTGCACATTTTCTGCAGGGCCCTCCCTGCATCCTTCTAAGGCTGATGAGCAGAAGTACCATCACCGGGATGCACATGGTGGGATTAAGGCATCTGCTTCTTCGACAGCCCTTCCCAAAGACCCGCCTGGTGCTGCTTCTTCTGCTCTTGCTCACATGATGTCCCGGGCTCCTCTTTAACCACAGGAGAACATGGGGCAGCAAGCCACGACTCTACGGTCACAGGTGAAGAAGAACACCATGAAAGACAAGCTGAAGCTGGTGCAAAATTTCCTGCAGAAGCTCCGGTTCTTGGCAGACGAGGTGAGTCCTTTGGTATGCAGAGACAGTGTTAGCTGGGTCAGTGCACGGCGACAGCAGCCTGGGGTGGAGGGAGACCTCTCTGCAAACCTCTTAAGCAGGAGAGGTTCTCTGTAGGATGGGTCTTGTGCAAGGAGCTGCTCTAGTACCCCATGCCTCCCAGGCTCACCCATGCATGGCTGGGCTGGAAGGAGTCACCCCCAGGTTACATCAGGGGATGTTTAGATTGGATATTAGGAAAACAGTTGTCACCCAAAGGTTTATCAAGCCCTGACCCAGGCTGCCCAGGGCAGTGGTGGAGTCCCCACCCCTGGAGGGATCTCAAAGCCATGCAAGGGCCATGAGTCACTGGTGGCCCTGGCAGGGCTGGGTTAACGGCTGGACTCGATGATCTTAAATGACTTTAAACCTTTCTGTAATTCTATGAGTCAGCACTAAATGAAATTTGAGAGCCCTTCCTAGCCAGCAGCAGAGCTGGGACTGCTTGCAGCTGAGCTGAAGGCATTTCTGTCAGCCTCAGCCATGGCAAGGCTGTGCCATTCCCTGGAGGGTCAACCATCGGAAGGTGGCACGTGTCCACAGTAGGGTCAGCAGCAGGGAGCCATTTCTGATCCTGGCTACATAAGGAGCCAGTGAAATAAATAAATAAATAAGTGAAATCCTCTCACAGAACCTAGTTTTTATTGCTGCAGCCTACTCCTGCTTCACTCCGGCTCGTGGGTAAGAGACAAAAGCCCAATGTTTCAGAGTTCCTCACAGCATTTCCAAGGAGACGCTGCATCTGCAAAGTACTTTTTCCTTCATTCAGGAAAACACACCAGCCCTCCAGTATTTTTAAAGTTCATCAGTGGTTCAGGCTTTGGGGGTTATTGGCCCTCATGGGAGCTGCAGTTATTGGGTTTCCTGTTGGCACAGCAAGCTCCCAGTTTGCATTAAGCATCCTTTGCCACAGCAAGGCCTTCCTTGGCTTTGACTCACCACAGCAGAACACAAACCAGACTACAAGGTGTGATGGGACCCGTCCAGAGAGGGAACCTCTTCCGTAATAAGGAATGAAGATATGGCCCCTGCCCAACATTCCCCATGGCCACTGAGTGAAGAGAGAAGGAAGATCTTTAGTATTCTAATCCAAAATAGTATTTTTTTTAAAAAAAACTAGAACAAATGTAAATCTCATTTTCTTTCTTGCTAGGCTTCACCTTGCTGAGCTTAACTCTGAGCAGTTTTTCTTACGCAGGCAAGCTTCTGCTCAAAAGAAGGAGGCTCAAAAACCATTTCAGTGGCCCTAATGTGGCAATAGGTACATCCATCTCCTGTGGCTTCTGTGGAATTTGCCTGCAGAAGGTCTCCAGCCCCGCTCAGTGGTCAGAAAGAGCTGAGACACTGACAGGGCTCTTTGCTGGTGTCCACAGCCCCAGCACACTATTCCCGACATCTTCATCTGGATGATGAGCAACAACAAGCGCATTGCCTACGCCCGCATCCCTTCCAAGGACATCCTCTACTCCATCGTGGATGAGGAGATGGGCAAGGACTGCGCCAAAGTGAAGACCATCTTCCTCAAGGTGCTGAGCTGTCTTTCCTAGGGGAACTGCAGCCAAGAGGAGGGAGGTGGAGGAGGGACAGACTGGGAGGAGGGGAGATTAGAGGGATGTGTAACCAGTTTTGCTGGGCCTAAGCAAAACAGACCCATACTCTACTGGTATGAGTGGAAGTCTGCTGCTAGGAAGTGTGACCCACTGATCCTACCCAGTCTGGTGAGAAATGTCTGGAAAGAGAGAGATATTTCACCCAGCTGGCCAAAAAAAAGGGTGCTGGCTGGGAAAGGGGAAGCCAACATGGTGGGAAGAAGATAACGCATGAGCCAGAGTAGTGTCATGATCCGAAGTGATGAGGGCTGGGTCCCTGGTTTTAAGGGGCAGCGGCACAAACAATGCACCAGAAGGAGTGGAATGCTGCAAGAGGTGGTCTGCCCATGTCTAAAATCTTCCCTATATCCGTGTATAAATTCTTCTTCCCTTTGTGCTCAGCTACCTGGGAAGAGGGGCTTCGGACCTGCTGGCTGGACCGTTCAGGCCAAGATGGAGATCTACTTATGGCTGGGCCTCAACAAACAACGCAAAGACTTCTTGAGTGGCTTGCCCTGTGGCTTTGAGGAGAAGAAGACCACTAGAGGCCAAAACTTGTCATCCTTCCCACCCATCAGCCTCCTTTATACCAGTAAGAACTTCCTGCCCGCAGTGGGTCTGGGGACAGGAGATGGAGAGGGCAGAAGGGAGCCTGGCTGGACACCACTTGGACCAAGGGCTAATGGGAAATACTTCCAGTTGCCCTAATCTGAGGTCCCATGCTGTTCCCATGGGGAGCTGGGGTGCGGGAACCACAGACCCTCTTCCTGACCCTGCTCTTATTCTGCACACGATGACCAGGATGCTGAGGAAGTCCATATCCATTCAGGACTCAGATTTTCAGCCTATTCACTTCATCAGTGCTGGCCCTGAGCAAAAGCAGGTGTAGTGACAGAACGAGAGGTAACAGTTTTAACCTGAAAGACGGTAGATTTATATGAGATATTAAGAAGAAATTTTTTCCTGTGAGGGTGGTGAGACACTGGCACGAGTTGCTCAGAGAGGTGGTAGAAGCCCCATCCAGGGCCAGATTGGACGGGGCTTTGAGCAGCCTGGTCTACTGGGAAGTGTCCCTGCCCATGTCACCTCATGGCAGGAGGGTTGGGTTGAGATGATCTTTAAGGTCCCTTCCAACCCAAACCATCTTGTGATTCCATGATTCTATGAAAAGCATGTCCCTGAGACCTCACTCTGCAGGCTGAGCCTCCAGAGTTGCTTTTGCTTATCGAGTTGTCTCAATTCCCGTCTCTCTTGCAGAGAAGCAGGTTTTCCAGCTACGAGCCCACATGTATCAAGCCAGGAGTCTGTTTGCAGCCGACAGCAGTGGCCTTTCAGACCCCTTTGCAAGAGTCTTCTTCATCTCCCAGAGCCAATGCACTGAGGTAAACACCATCTCCTGACCGGGAAGCCTGGGTTGTGGTGTGGCACGTCCCATTATCTCTTCATCCTGCTGCCCTGCCACACATCTTGTTGCTGCTGGGGAATGAAGGATTAGGTTGATCATGGGATGGGAAAGCAGCCACAGCACTGGGGCTTGTCTGTCTGCAGGAGTCCCTTCCCCAGGAGTGCCTTCACCACGTGTCACCCCACACCAGCACAGAGCTGTCCCACGTCCCTATGGCTGTGATTCACCTGCCTGCTTAGGAGAAATGGGAGCATGTTGAAGTGGTTTTTGTGTCTTCCCTTCCCAGTCTGAGGGCTGCTGAGCTTTAGCAAGCCTGGTGGACACTGGAAAAGGTGGGAAGTGTCCCTGCCCTTAACAGAGAGGTTGGAACTGAAAGATCGTGAAAGTCCCTTCTGACCCAAACCATTCTGCGATATGATTCTATGATATAATTTGTGTCTACTTCCTGCTGTTGAGTTCATGTTTCTCAGAAGAGTCCTTGGGAGACACTCCATGACTCACTGGTCCAAAAAAATGTGCAGCAGCCCCCTAGTGCCTTCAGGCAGCTGAGACTAACACCTGGTCTGCTGCCCTTGCACGGGCAGTAAGTTTGGAGCAGTAAGTCTCTCTCCTTCTTCCAGGTTCTCAATGAGACCCTTTGCCCGACCTGGGACCAGCTGCTGGTCTTTGACAACGTGGAGCTTTATGGAGAAGCTCATGAGATGCGGGATGACCCTCCTATAATTGTCATCGAGATCTATGACCAGGACACAGTGGTAAGATGAATCCTAGCAAAGGAAGATGTTTATGATTTAGATGCCGTCACTCCTCAGTCAGAGGCCAGGCTGAAGTGCAGAGGATCTGAGCAGTAGCTTCTGAGAGCTGTGGGGCTAACTTGGGAGGCCTCATGTTGGGTCAGTGAACCCAAGTGCTCTCCTCTCCTCTCCAGGGCAAAGCTGACTTCATGGGCCGCACCTTTGCCAAACCTGTGGTGAAGATGTCGGATGAGCACTACTGCCCACCACGCTTCCCCCCACAGCTGGAGTACTACCAGATCTACCGAGGCAACTCCACAGCTGGTGACCTGCTGGCTGCCTTCGAGCTGCTCCAGGTACCAGCTGGCCAAAGTCATCCCAGACCCAGGGAGGGAAAGGATGGGCTGGAGGGTTACAAGGCAGCAGCGCTCAATTTGTACTAACGTATCTTTGGTGCTGCAAAGAGCAGATAGCTTGTACATCCTAGAAAAGCTAAGAGGGTTTAGCACAGCTGTTAATCCCTTGAGAAGGCAGCTCCCACCTGGTTCTGCTGGTCAAAAGGAAGAGTGGCGAGTCCCAGGCACCTTGCTGGAGAGGACATCCCACTAAAGCATTACGTTAGCCCAAACAGAGTACAGAAGCTCTACAGGATGTTGAGGACGAAAACCCATAAGAAATAAAGGCCAACGAGAGAACCCATCTCTGACCACCCTTCCCATGAAAACCCCTCAGTGTCACCCTGAGAACCACCAAATCTGGCTCTTACTTTGGGTCCCAGAATTTAGGTACCTGCCCTGTTGGTTTTCTTTTTTTTATTTTTAAAGTCTTAAAAAAATTTCATTAGTGGGATACAGGAGATGCCGATGAGAGTCTTGGTGTTCTTGGAGATGCTGATTTGAAGGCCTCAAGAAAAAGGAGGGGTGAATTCAAAGCAGCATCCCAAGAGTATGGTGACATTTCAGCCTCACACTCTGTGGGGGAAGCAGAGTTGAACTCTCATTTTCGTGCCTCCTTTCCCTTACACTGGCACGTTGTGTTTGCATGGGGGTGTCTCATCAGTCTCCTGGCGTGCAGGGGGCATGGAGATGTCCTAGCTGAAAAGAGAGAGGCTCCACCAAACTCAACACACTGCTGGTGGGTTCAGGTGGGCAAGACGCCTCTGATGCAGCTGAGCACCAGCTGGTGACAGTGGTTTCTGGGAAGATGGACCTTTGGGGACTGTGTGATCCCTCCACTTCTGGGTCTCCCCTTTATTTTGGAGGAGACTTTCCTTTACGTGCTCATGTGTCTGCAGTGTCACCCCTAGCGTGATGGTGAGATAGGTGGAACCTTGCAGGCTGCTGCTGAGCACGGTGTCCCACTCTCTAAGGTGCTTTTCCATCTCCTCCACCTGCCAGGACAGGTGTTCATCCAAGTCCTTTTTTTCCCCCCAAATTCCCTTGCAGTGGGGTGGTTTCCCTAGGGAATGCTTCACATGGGATATTTGATCTCCTTCATGCTCTGGCTTGAAAACAAGACCTGAAACCTGCTCCTGGACTGAGCTCTAGGACCATTCCTGCACCTCTTTCCACGTGGACAGGTGCAACACATTGCAGGAAGAAAAGGAACAGCCCTGGGGTTGGGATACACTGATGGGCTGGTGGTGCTGCTTCTGAGTCTGTCCTATGTGGAAACATGAATTTTCCCAAAGTTTCAGATGCTCAAGCAACCCTGGTTGCTCCTGCACCCTCTGAGACAACCACAGACCCAGTGTGTGAGAGCAGGGTGGGCCAGTTACAGCTGAGACTGAGAAAAAACTCCTTCCCAGCAGCGGGGTGTCAGCTCAGAGGAACAGATCCTAATCCATGCTGTATCTCTTTCAGATTGGCCCTGGGGGCAAGTCAGACCTGCCCTCAATTGACGGCCCCACAGACATAGACCGGGGCCCCATCCTGCCGGTGCCACTGGGGATTCGGCCGGTGCTGAGTAAATACAGAGTGGAGGTAATCACTTTGTAGACTCAAAGTTTGATATTCAGTGGTGCATGGGGCAGGAGAGCCTGTTTGTGGTGATGTTTGAAGGCCAGGAGGGATCTCTGAGGCTCTGATGCCTAACTGAGCACCAAGACCAGATGTCTGCACTGTGAGGATCTGTCTGTACTGGCTGCAGCAACCCTAAAAGAAAAGGGAGCTGCATCACTCTTTGTTGTTTTAAATGTGGGCACCACCACAAGGGGTGCACCAGGAGATGTTTAGAACAAACTGTAGGAAATATTTCTTTACTGAAAGAGTGTCACGGCATTGGAACAGTCTGCTCAGGGCAGTGGTAGAGTTGCCATCCCTGGAGGTGTTAAAAAAACCCATGTGGATATGGCGTTTTAGGATATAGCTTAGTGGTCATGGTAATATTGGGTTGACGATTGGACTAGATGGCCTTAGAGGTCATTTCCAACCTTAAGGATGCTACGATTCTAAATGGCCCTTGGGCTGAGATGCAATGTGGGGCACATTGGAGATACACATGTTGTACATCTCCACCTGAAGCAGCCCCATAGGCCAGGTGAGCTGCATCCCACCAATCTCAGGCATCAAGGGCAGGATGCCTGCCATGTATCTGTAGATATCTGAAGGGCAGTGCATCCAGTCAGGATCCCTCTGCCTTGATTGGCTTGGTGGTGATCCAGGCAATGCAGTCGTGGTTGTGGGTATGGTCAGGCGAGATGCTGCTGACCAGATCTCCAGGTCCTTGAAAGGATCCTGGCTCCTGCTCTTCCAGGCATTTGCATCTGGTTAAATAAATTGTATTCCTTCGATGTGCAAGGTGAACGCAGCCATGGGGAATCTGGAGGCAGGAAAATATCAGTTTAGGGAAGCTTTTGGTCATGGTGGCAATCTGTTATCCCAAGAAAGGAGAGGAAAGATTCCCCAGAGACATCGATATCATTTTAACAAAATTATGACAGCTCTGAATCAAGAGCCACTGGGAATGGACAAAGCTGGTCTGGTCCTGCTTTATGGACTCACATGGCAGAAAAAGACTAGAAAGGAGGAAGGCAGAAAAGAGGGTGTTGAGGGCAGCAGGTTGGAGATCTTAGGTGACTGCAGACCAGGCATGGGGTGGATTATGTGAGGTGTCAGAGAGAGACTGTGCTGCAGCCCTGAGAGATGTGGAGAGGGAGAAGGTACCTCAGGGATCCACCCCTGCCCCAGCCATGACATTTGCTGTAGAGTTCCTGCTCATGGAGGTCGTGGAAAACCAACTCCTTTTGACTCCAGGTTCCAGCCAGGGGCAGTCCCTCTCGTCTTCATGTTCTTCCTTCTCTTCCTTGTGCCTTAGATCTTGTTTTGGGGCCTGAGGGATCTGAAGAGAGTGAACCTAGCCCAGGTGGACCGACCCCGTGTGGACATTGAGTGTGCTGGGAGAGGGGTCCAGTCAGCCCTCATCCAGAACTACAAGAAAAACCCCAACTTCAGCACTTTGGTCAAGTGGTTCGAAGTGGTGAGTTTTACCTCGTCCCTCCAAGCCCTGAAACTGAAACCCAGATTTTCTGGAACCTAAACCATGGAGCCTAGCCCCTTGCTTCATTTTCCCCACGGCAATGGAGGATATGAGCTCTACTCCAGTTGGTCTTTCTCCAAAGTCTCCCAAGTAATACTCTGCTGGAGCTGCTCTAGACCTCTGATCCCTGTTTTACTCCCTACTGGACTTTCTGTGAACCACCAAAGTAGACATCTCACACCTTTGCTTCCTAGGACCTCCCAGAGAATGAGCTGCTGCACCCACCCCTCAACATCCGAGTGGTGGACTGCCGGGCTTTCGGGCGTTACACCCTGGTGGGTTCCCACGCTGTCAGCTCCCTCCGAAAGTTCATCTACCGCCCACCAGATAAGAAAGCCCAGCACTGGAACATGACAGGTACTCGCTTGGGCCATGGGGACTTGGCTGATAATGGGTCATCAGCGGAGAGGAGGGAGATGGGTAGAGGGTTGTAAGGACGAAGGGATATCGCCTGCTTGTTGGTTAAGCAAGCAGAGCTTCAGTGTTTGGGTCAAAGGGGTGAGAAGACACAGGGTGAGACCACGGTTCCCCTTTGATTTTTGATTTTTTTGATCCGTGGTTCTCACTGTGATAACTTACACACTCTCCCTGATACCAGTAAGACAAGTTCTCCTTTAACATCCCTGCAGCTTCATGGATCTACACTCCCCAAATGTTCCTCAAGACTGGGAGGTGAATTTGCTGTGCCCCATGCCTGCTGCTGCTGCTGCTGCTGTTGTTTGAGTAAAGACTAGGAAGTTAGATAGGGGCTGGGGGTGGCCACCTTCTCAACCACCACCAGAGGATTCCCCACAGCAAAAACCATCACAAACCCACTTTTGCAACCAGCAGAGCAGCCGAGGGCTTGGTGAGCCACAGGAATTGTTCATCTCCTGCCAGTCTTTGGTGGAAGCGGAGGCACTCTTGGCTGGGCAGAGACAGGAGGTCTGGGGGGGGATTGCCCACCACCATCTCTGGTTCCAGAGGTCTGGATGTGGGGTTGTGTCCATGCCAAATGATACTTGCAGGGCAAACATCTTCTCTGCCTCTTCTCTGAACACTAGAGCAAGCAAAAAATGCAACCCTTTCTCATTATTTGCTTTCCTTTGCTATGGCAAAGCTTTTAATCATGCTGTGCTCATTTCCTCCACTCTTGTCTGAGCAAGTCATCACGCATCGCTCCTTCATGAATCCTGTAGGCTCTCACCCGAGTGCTCGGTTTCTCCTCTACGCTATCCTTCTCCCTTTTTCTTTCTTTTTCTCTGTCCTCTGTCCAGCTAAACACCTCAATGGTTATCTGGCAATGGCCAACGGGGCCCATCGCTCTCGCCCCACAGGGGAGATCGTTGTCAATATGGAACCTGAGGTTCCCATCAAGAAGATGGAGACGATGGTGAAGCTGGAAGCTGTGAGTATAGAATCATAAGATAGAATCACAGAACACTTTAGGTTGGAAAAGAGCTTTAAGATCATCAAGTCCAACTGTTAACCCAACACTGCCAGAGTCACCACTAAACCACGTCCCTGAGCATCATGGTTCCAAGCCTTTTAAATCCCTCCAGGGATGGAGGGTTATCCATTACGTCAGCACCACTTTAGCATCGTTCCTCAATGAATTGCCAGTCTTTTAGGATTTCCACCCCCAAGAAATGGCCTTTTCCTGCTAAAGCTGAACATGGAGTTGGGCTGACCGCTGGAATAAGGGGCTGTGGCTCATTATCAGTCCTACAAACTGGCCACATTCTGTCCTCTCTGAAATTATCTGGTGTTTGCTGCCTGGAAGGGTTGGACTTGATGATCTCCAGAGATCCCTTCCAACCTCTAACATTCTGTGATTCTGTGAAAAAGACTGTCCTTGGCCTAATGTCTGGGCCGAGGACACAGCAGATGCTCATGCAGTACAGCTGATCCAGGCGCAAGGATTCAGTCTGAGGCAGCCAAAGCTCTTTAGACCTAAAGTACTTGTCCTGAAGATTTGTCTCTGCATGCATCAGACAGGCAACATATCCCAGAGACATCAGGCTTTGGTCACACACCGCACACGCCTGTGCCCATTTTCCTACCCGGACCAGGAATTTCAACTCCTCCTCATACTCTTTTACTCCAGAGGCAGATTTCTTTTTGTGGGTGGCCCTTCGCAGCAACATGCGCACACAGCTCCCCCCACCTCCCCCAGATGAGCAGCACGTGTGCATAGATGCCTCTACAGGCATGTTGTAGGCTCCAAACATGCATGACTCCCCCTCACGCGTGTGCACTTACAGGAAGGCTGTAGCACATATGAAGCCTTGTGTACAGTGCACCCTTCCCCTCAAGATCTCTGGGGCATTCACCTTTATCATGGAATATTTGAGGGTGGAAGGGACCTTTACAGGTCATCTGGTCCAACCCCTCTGCAGTGAGCAGGGACGTCTTCAACTCAGAGCCCCGTCCAACATGACCTGCAATGTTTCCAAGAGTGGATCATCCACCACCACTCCGGGCAACCTGTGTCAGTGTCTCACCACCCTCAGTGTAAACAATTTCATCCTCATATCTAGTCTATATCTACCCTCTTTTAGTTTAAAATCTCGTATCCTATGCAGAGTGGCTCGTACGTGCACAAGAAGATGTATCATGTATGTCGGCTCACATAGCTTCACCCAACAGAAGCTACAGCGTGGGAGCATGTGCATGGTTATGTCTGGAACACCCTAGCACACACGTGCTTCTTGAAGTCTACCACAGTAGCTTGCAGACCTTCCTAGACAGAGAAAAATCCTCCAAGAGAGCAGAGAGGTGTTATCAATGTCAAGGTGTCTTTCCCGACCCAATCTCTCGCTGTCTTGAACTGTGGTTCTCCCTCAGTGGAGAGAGACAGATACCTCCCACATGGAGACAGGTATGTCACAGAATCACAAAATGGTTTGGGCTGGAAGGGACTTTAAAGTCCATCTCACTCCAACCCCCCTGCCATGGGCAGGGACACCTCCCACCAGACCAGGTTGCTCCCATCCAACCTGACCTTGAACATTTCCCGGGAGGGAGCTTCCACAACTTCTCTGGGCAACCCATGCCAGCATCTCACCACCCACACTGAAAAGAATTTCTTCCTAATATCTAATTAGTGTCACAACAGACATTTCCCCTGTATGAAGAGCTTTCCCAGCCAGAGCTTTTCATCCAAGGCGTTCGGTTCCTTCACCGCTGGGTAGCTGTCCCTGACTTCTCATTCCCCTGTGTGTGCCGGGGGGTGTTTGTATTGAGCTGAGGCTGCCCTGCTAATCTGCTCTCCCTCTCTCTGTTCTCTTCCACCCCGGGCGGCAGAACTCCGACGCAGTGGTGAAGGTGGACGTGGTAAGTCACGGATCTGCTCTGCCTCCCTCCCTACCAACCTTCCACACCCCATCCTGCCCTTCTGGGAGGCTTTTAACAGACCATGCATCCTCAACAACCTCAAGCCAGGCAGGGTCCAGCACCCCTTCACCCCAAGGCAGAGATGGAGCAGCGTTATCTTATCAATAGATATGGCAGTGGCCTGGTTCCTGCAGACTGGGAAGCTCCTCTGGGCCAGGACTTGCCAGACCAGCTGGCCCAGGAGGAGCAGGGGATCCCTGTGGGAGAGATGCTGGATATTCCTACCACAGCCAGATACCAGCTGCAAAAGGCTTTATGGCACCACTAAAAGTACTTTGCCTGGCAGAGGGAGGGCTGTAGCGTGGGAGACACACGGTGAAAGGGATGATGGAAGTGGGAGAATGTGCTAATAAGGCCACCCAGCCTGGACATTCTGCCTTCTCAGGTGCTTCACCCACCTCCTTTGTCCTTCAAGAGACGTTTCACTTGGATCTGACTCCTCTTCTTCTCTGTGTTTGCTTCCTTTGTCCCTGCAGACAGAGGAAGAGAAGGAGAAAAAGAAAAAGAAGAAGAAAGGAGGAGGAGGAGAGGAAGTAGAAGAGGAAGAACCGGATGAGAGCATGCTGGACTGGTGGTCCAAGTATTTTGCCTCAATTGAGACTATGAAGGAGGTGGGTGCAGAGCAGACAAGGGCTGCATGTAGAGGGGAAGAGGAAAATACTGTTCCCTGCCTGGGAGGTCTCACCAGCTACTTCCAAAGCCTTGGGGCTGCGCTGCTTCCCTCCATAACCTTGTCTGACTCCCAGCAAAGGTTGGGGGTTTTTTTCCACCTGGCAAAGCTGAGCAGGATTCCTCTTTCCCAAGTTGTGCTCAGGGTGGGCTCTGTGGCTGGTTTGTGCTCAGGCACAGGTATTGAACAGCACCAGTGCTCAAGGCTGCACTGGGCAACTTTGATTTCTTCAACGCTGCCAGAACCTCTCTGGCACCTCCATCAGAAAAAAAGGAGAGAGCTGTGACCCTCAGCAGGGCATTTCCAGGGAGCACAGAGACCTCGATCCAAGCACCCATTCCCTGTTTGCTTCTTTTTGTCTCCCAGCAACTCCGGCAGCAAGAAGCTGCCGCAGCAGAAGCGGAGGAGAAGGAAGAAATGGAGATTGCAGAGGGTAAGCAAGTTGTGAATGAGAGAGGGAACGTGGCGAGGAAAGGTAGGATGAGGACTCCTTTTGCTGCTTGGGCATCCCTTTCAGAGCCTAATGCTGCTCTTCTGCCCAATGAGATGCTCAGAGCATGTTGTATATCTCCACAAAGGACCAATTTTTTGTGAATGTAATCCTGGTGTGGGCTGTGTTGGGTTTTAACAGGTGGTGGACTTGGTAACAATTGAACTCAAAGATCTTCAAGGTCTTTTCCAACCTAGACAGTTTTATGATCCCAGGATTCTTTGCTTCGATGAACATGAGATTGGATATTAGGAAGAATTTCTTTGCCAAAAGGGTTGCCAAGGCCTGGCCCAGGCTGCCCAGGGCAGTGGTGGAGTCCCCGTCCCTGGAGGGATCTCAGAGCCAGGGGTCAGTGGTGGCCCTGCCAGGGCTGGGTTAACAATTGGACTTAATGATCTTAAAGATCTTTTCCAACCTATTCTATGCTAACGGTAGGTGAGTCCAAACCAGAGCATGGTATTACAGCAGCCTCCAACCCCCACGTGTTAGGAGGAAGGCTACATGCAGGTAATGCAGACTAGTGACCAGGATCTGTGTCACTGTCCAAGGATATTTTTGTGCAGTCACAAGTCACTATATGTGCTTGAAGTTTGTCAAGCGTGCCAAGTAACAGATACTTCTAGATCACCTAGGTTTTCCACCCTCATTTTTTAGGAGGGTTAAAAAAAATTCATTTATTTTGCTCCAAATTTGTAAAGGAAGATTCAAGCAGGCAAACAATCTGAGATTCACCTAATCTGAGTGCTTCTACCTGCATATAGAGGCCTCCTTGTCTCCTGTTCTAGCACAGGCATTGAAGAAAAATATGTATTTATAGGGCAAGTTCTCTGACCTATTTTCAATCCTATGTTACAATCAGATGAACTGTGCCCTAAGTGCATTTTTCTCTGAAGGAATTGAGGAGGTTTGTAGCTCGGGTGGGGTGTTGCAGATGTCTAAAGTTGAGTGAGACAAGTTTTGTAGCACAAGTGATATGTTGATCAAGGCTGACTTTGTCTAACTGCAACCTGGAGGCTCCTTGCCAGTCCCATCAGCAGGGCTTGGAAGGGTTTCCATGCTCTCCATATGTTTCCAAGGGTTTCCATGCTCTCCATATGTTTTCATGCTCTCCATATGTTCCATGTCCCCACGACAGTGGGTTGCTGTCATTCCAGGGCAACGCAAAATCCATTAGCTATGAAAAATACAGAGCCTGGTTCCCTTGGGAAGGCTACTTTTCCTATTACAAGAAAGAGGAGACTGAGTCTTGCTGAGCTTGAGACAACACTGAGCAGCTTCTTCCTGGGCTTGCTGTCCTGGCAGGGCTGCTGGGGTGTGTCTTGTGCCCCCCACTGTTTTCTTTGTGTCTTCTGAGATGGTTCCATTTCCCCTTGGACCTCTCATTCCTTCCTCCTTTCCTCTTCCACTTTAAGTCTTTGTCGTCTGTCTGCGTTGCCCAATGGTCATGAAAGCTGGCAGAGGCAGTGAGGGACGAGGATTGTAGTGGGATGGGAGAGCCTTTCTCTGAACGTGCCTTTCCAGGCAGCCTGTTCCCAGTGTAGTTGATGTCCTTGGCTGGTGGTTGCTCTGAATGGAAATCTTAACAACCTGTCATTGTAGCTGGTCATGGACAACACCCCTTTAAGCGCAGCAGCACATGCTCTGGTGCTGAGCATCAAGCACTGTCCCCTTTGCCATAGCTAGGCTGGGGCTTTAATCTCCAGGCTTCATAAAGGAGGAAAAACCTCCAGTAGAAGAAAGAAAATGAGATGCTGTGGGCAGAATCAGGTCTTCTCGTGGCTGTTAAATTTAGCCGGAGTCCAGCACTCTCAGCCTGTGTTTTGCAGTCCTCCAAATGAATTCTGCTCAGGTTAGCTCTGGAAGTTCTCTGCGCAGGGAGACCTGGGCAGCAGTGGCCAGAGTCAAGGAAAGACAGGAGAGGGCTGGGCTCAGAGTTGCAGGCAGCAGCAGCTGCTGTCAGCTTTCATGCTCCTCCCTTTTGACGGACTTCAATCAGGTCCCCCAATCCCTGTCTTCTCCTCATTTCCATCTCCTCCCTCCCCGTCACCTCTCCTTGGACTCAGAAATCAAACTCAATGATTCTCCCATGAAAGGCTCCAAGGGTCAGACGAAGAACAAGGAGAAGTCCAAGGCACCCAAAGATGATAAGAAAAAGAAGCAACAGTCAGCCTCTGAGCTTCCCGAGAAGAAGAACAAGCAGAAGATCGACGAACTGAAGGTGAGTGTGTTGGCAGAGGAGGAGAAGACCCAGCCTGCTCCATAGCAGGCTGGAAGCCCCAGCTACCCAGAGATGAGGGCAGGATGGATCAGTCCTGCCTGAGGCACCTCGCCTACCTGAGGGGCATCTAACGCTAGATGAGATGTGCCTTGGGCACTGCCAGCTTCTCTCCACAGACTGAACAAATCAGACATAATAAGTTTTACAGAAAAGGAATTGCCCTGGGATAGGCCCATCCTTGGGGCAGCTTGAATGTGCTCTGGCTGGAGGGGTTAGTTTTCCAGCCTGGCCAGTCCTTGCGAGGATTCAGGGCAGAGATGGGCTCTGGTTCAATGTCCTGGCCCGGGGTGGTGATTGGGATTCATGTAGTCTGTGGTTCTGGGATTCAGAAGGGGTTTGAACCTGGGTCCTGCACCGAGGGGCACGGTGACCTCGCCTGTTCAGCCAAACTTCTCTCTTGTACATTATCAGTTTGAGGAGGTTCTTGTACTGGTCCAACCCAAGAAGCCTTGAAATCCTTCCCCTTCCTAGAGAACCAGACACTGGGAGTTGAGATGTCCATGTTCCCTGAGAGTTGCCTGTGAGTATCCCTTCCTCACTTTTTCTTTTTACCTAATTCCCTTCCTTTAACTTTCTGTCATCTCAGGTCTTCAACAAAGAGCTGGAAACAGAGTTTGATAACTTCGAGGACTGGCTGCACACCTTCAACCTACTCCGTGGGAAGATCGGAGACAACGACGACAACGCAACGGAAGAGGAGCGGATAGTGGGCAGGTTCAAAGTGAGTTTCGTTGCTGAGTTGGGCCAGGGCAGGGGCAGCTTGGGAAGGCCTTGCCAGCAGGTTTCTCTGCTGGTTTGGAAGGAAGAGGTTGGATGGAATAGAAATCAATTTGTGTTGACCCCACTGCAGCGCCTTGCAGAAAGCGAAATCCTCCAAGGATAAGCCCCAGAAATCATCTGGGAAAAGCAGCTCCTCTTTCTTTCCCACTGTGGAAGTAAATCATACCCTGGGTTATCTCTCTGAATGATTTTTCACCCATGTCAGTCACCTGGGCTCACAGCCACGTTACACCATTTCCAGGACCTCAGGCGATGCAGAAGCACATCTGTCAGCTCTGAGATTCTTGGGCAAGAACCTTTTTTGAGGGTGTGATCCCAACCACAAGAAGCCTGTTGATGCTAGTGTTGCCCTTTGTTTGCGTAGCAGAGGAGATGAGCAGGCAGTACCCCACTTTCCTTGCCCAGTCACCATCCCTGGAAGCGTTCAAAAAATGGGTAGACGTGGCACTTGGGGCCGTGGTTTAGTGGTCATGGTGGTGTTGGACTGGATGATCTTAGAGGTCTTTTCCAACCCTAACAGTTCTATGATTCTTAGCTAGTATGTTTAGGGAGCAGAGAAATCAGCAGTGCTTCATGCGATAATTTCCAGATTTTTCCAGCCCATCCCTCAGCAACATTTTTATTCTCGTTGTTTTTGCCCTCCAGCCAGTTGTACTCCTGGAAATCCCTGTCCATGAGCACCTTGCCAGCCTGATTCTTCTGCAGGCCTCCTTCCCTTTGTCCAATTTCTCTGCTCATGGTTGCAGCCCCTGAAGCTGGTGTGGTGGAGGAATTTTCCAGATCTGGCCTGACTGGGTCCTCAGGAAGGGTGGTTTGGGATGGGACTGCTTCCCCCAAGCCCCTGGGCAGCAGGACTCTCATCGGGCTGTGCTCTCCCTCACTCTAGGGCTCCATTTGTGTCTACAAAGTCCCACTGCCTGATGATATCACCAAAGAGGCAGGATACGACCCCAACTTCGGCATGTTCCAGGGGATCCCCAGCAACGACCCCATCAACGTGCTGGTCCGAGTCTATATTGTGCGGGTGAGTGCAACTGGGTGGTGTGGTGAGACATGATCCCATTCTACCTTCCACGGAGCTCACCCAGGAGCCAGTCCCAAAGCCGTGGGCATGTTGGCTTTTAGCTGTGGTCACCGTGGCCAGGGATGCAACATGAGGACTTGAAGCAGCTCGTGGATGGGGACTGGAATGATGTCTCCATAGCTGTGTGCTCTAAGCACTGGGAGCAAGCCAGATGCAAGCTCCAGTCAGATCCTGAGACCTTTCTTCTGGTGTGTAGGGTGGACTATACACTCCAAGAAGTCCTCATAGAAGTATCTGGACTCCTCTTTGTCACCACCTTGTCCCAGCATTTTACAAACACAACCTGCTTTTGGCTACATTTCCCAGTAGCCTGATTCTCCATCCAGTGCTGCATCCCACTGCCCAGCGGGGTAATGAGTCTCCTGCCCATCACCAGCAAACTGAGACTGCAATGTTAGACACCAGCCTGGTGAGCACCACCAACCAGGACTGGCTGGATGTGCCCTGGCATGAGCGTCTACTGTCGCGTGCCATGAGGGTGTGTGGGACTGGAGAGTTTGGAGGTGCTCACCCCCAGTATGGGGAGAAGCCAGAAGTCCTTGGCCCTAAGGTAGTCACTGAGGAGAACAAGAGGGGAAGGGGGAAGCCTTGACATCTTGGTCAGGTTGTTGCTCTGGGTCGCTCTATAGAGGAGCCTCTTTCTTTCCACTGATGAGAGAGATGCCAAAGAAGACTGTGGTGTCTGAGGGGACACCGCCAGCCCCAACGCCTCCCCAGACCGAGACAGGGATTAACACAAGGCTGAGATTAAACTAAGCCACTCTGTTTAGGAGTACCAAAGAGGTCAGCCACATGTCTACGGCCAGGCAGGGCCAGACCATCTCAGGGATGGAGAACAGGGATGTCCCTGAATTCTTCACTTCTGTGGATGACACCGATGTGTCTCATCTGTTCTCCACAGGCCACGGACCTTCACCCAGCTGACATCAATGGGAAGGCAGACCCCTATATTGCCATCAAGCTGGGCAAGACAGACATCAAAGACAAGGAGAACTACATCTCCAAGCAGTTGAACCCTGTCTTTGGAAAGTGAGTTGCCCGAGCTCTGTTACCTGTCTGCACCTGGAAGCAGTGAGCTAAGCCTGAGCCAAGCTTGCCACCCCTCAGACCTGCACCCTAGACATCCCACAGCTTAGTTTGACAAAGAGGAGGCTGAGGGGGGATCTCATCCTGCTCTACAATTACTTGAAAGGACATTGTAGAGAGGTTGGTGCTGGTCTCTTCTCACAGGGAATTAGGGACAGAACCAGGGGGAATGGCTGCAAGTTGCAACAGGGCAGGTTTAGGCTGGACATGAGGAAGAAATTGCTCACAGAAAGAGTGGTCAGACCCTGGAACAGACTGCCTGGGGAGGGGGTTGAGTCGCCATCCCTGGATGTGTTCAAGTGTCGCTTAGATGGGGTGTTGGGTGATGTGGTTTAGGGGTGACCTTGTAATGTAGGGTCAATGGTTGGACTCGATGATCCCAAGGGGCTTTTCCAACCTGAATTGTTCTATGATTCTATGATCCCACAGCTGCTGCTTGAGCTCAAAAGATGAGACTCGTCACACAGAACTTGCCTTGCAAGCAGTGTGGGCATCCTTGTTTCAGCCACTTGTCCTTTGCCAGCCTTGTGGTCAATATAGCAGAGTGTTGAGGAGATGCTGGATCAGCCCATACAGAGATTCAGTTAAAACCCTGACCTTGAATGTCCTGCAGCGGTAGATGCAAATTAAACAATGTCCACAGGCTGGAGCAAAACAACCTCATCCATGTGCCCATCCTGAGTAGCGGCCAAACCCTTCAACAGCTTTTCTCTTTCTCCTCACCTGCTTTCCTCTGGCCTAGATCCTTCGACATCGAGGCCACCTTCCCCATGGAGTCCATGCTGACAGTGGCAGTGTACGACTGGGACTTGGTGGGGACTGATGACCTCATTGGAGAGACCAAGATCGACCTGGAGAACCGCTACTACAGCAAGCACCGAGCTACTTGTGGGGTGTCACAGACTTACTCCATGTATGAGCAAAGCTTTCTTTGTCCAACCTTCCCATGCCCATCTCATCCTCCACACCAAGCCTAGATCTCCTGCAGAAACCTCCCTCCTTTATTACCTGCTAATGGAGAACTCTGTGCCGTACCCTCAATTTAAGACAGGTTTTGTGACCAGCAGAGCAGGGCAGTGTTGGAGTGGGTTGTGAGGAGCCCGGAGCAGGGAGAAGGGACTGAGGGGCACTGGTCAGACTGGGTAGAGGCGTGAGGCCAGAGCTGAAATAGCAGCAAGGCCAAAGGAGCAACACTGAGTATAAGGAGACAAGTGGGATGTGCTGGGAATTTCAGGTCCAAGCCAGCACAGAGTAAAGGGGCTGGGGTGGAAGGATGGTAGCAAAGTGTAGAGAGCAGGTGCAGAAGGACCTGGTCTGCTCTGAAGGTTCACATTTGCAGCCTCAGATCGTTCCCTTGTGAATCCTGGGTCCTTCATGACAGTAGTGTTTGTTTCGCTGGTAGAGGGGATCAAAACCTCTTTTTCCTCCGAAAATTGCTGCTACTTCACTGACCTTGCCCTCCTGTTCACAGACATGGTTATAACACCTGGCGTGACCCCATGAAGCCCTCTCAAATCCTGTCCAAGCTGTGCAAAGAGGGCAAGGTGGATGGGCCGCACTTTGGGCCAGGAGGAAGAGTGAAAGTTGCCAACAGGGTCTTCACCGGCCCCACGGAGATTGAGGATGAAAATGGTACCTGCCCCGTGGGATGAAGGTTGTGGAGGGGAGCAGGGGTCTGGGGTGTCCCTTCACCGTCCAGTTTTGGAGACAGATGTAGAGGTCCCATCACCCCAAAGCAGCATGCAGTCACTCTCCATCCACCACCTCAAATGGACCTTCCAGTATGGGACCAGTTAGACAGAGTCTTACAGACCACCCTGCTCTCAGAATCACTCACAGGCATCTGAAGTGTAGCATCACCAAAGCTGCTTTTGAGAACTTCCTCCTGGCAGTGTAAGCCCAAGGAGCAACGAAGACAGCCCACCTTGGCCTTTCCAGGATTTAGGGAGCTGTTCTCCACGTAACTGCATCCCCAAACAGTGCTGGTGGTTTTGCTCAAGAAAGATGAGGGCTGGCCGGGAGGGGTGCAGAAGAGGAGGAGACCATGATTCACGGATACAGAGTTTGTCCAGCCTTGGAAAATGCAGGCTGGCAGGGGGTCTGGACCTTCTGTGAGTGACTCGGGTTAGAAAGAGGAGAAAGAGAGGAGCTAGAAAGTGTTGGCTGAGGGACAAAGTGTGTGCAAGGAAACAGGAGTAGCTAGGAGGCCGTTCTGCTCCCCTGGAATGGGGGGTAGGAGAGCAGGGCTCTGCCCAGTTCTCCAAGCTCAGCTTTCCCTTTGCGCCTGCAGGTCAGAAGAAGCAGACAGATGAACATCTGGCCCTGACTGTGCTACGTCACTGGGAGGACATCCCGCGGGCAGGCTGCAAGCTGGTCCCTGAGCACGTGGAGACGCGGCCTCTGAGGCATCGAGCAGGTCCTCGCAGTCCCAGGGCAGAGGCGAAGGCAGCTCATGCTGCAGAGCCTGTAGAGCCACCAAGCAGGGAGCAGAGAGGTCAGCTGGGCAGAGCAGCCACCGCCCACCCTGTCGTGAGCAGTGGAGGTGGGGAGGTGTCCTGCAAAGAGTGGCACTTGGACATCAACGACCCTCACCAGTCACCTGTTGACCCCAGCAGGCTAAACCTGCAGTGGTGGTTCTGCAGAAGGCAGCTCATGCTGCAGAGCCTGTAGAGCCACCAAGCAGGGAGCAGAGAGGTCAGCTGGGCAGAGCAGCCACCGCCCACCCTGTCGTGAGCAGTGGAGGTGGGGAGGTGTCCTGCAAAGAGTGGCACTTGGACATCAACGACCCTCACCAGTCACCTGTTGACCCCAGCAGGCTAAACCTGCAGTGGTGGTTCTGCACCCATTTCACACCCCCAAGTCCCTTGGTTCCCCTGACACCCCACGCCTGTGCACCTCGGCACCGTGCCATGCCATGAGACACTTCTGCAGGGGGTGGAAAAGGACTCATGGCTTAGGGAAACCCTGCCCTGCTCCACATCTGGCAGGGTTCAGTGCTGCAGGTCCTGCCCCACATCTGGCACAGCCAGACTGATGTTGAAGGGCAAGAGGAGCTGGTAGGGGACACACACACGCTGCTGGGGAGCGGGGTGGGCAAGGAGGGACAGGGGGAGCTGACTGCATCTCTCCAACCTCGCAGGGTCGCCTGGAGATGTGGGTGGACATGTTCCCCATGGACATGCCAGCGCCCGGCCCTGCCACTGATATTTCCCCCAGGAAACCAAAGAAGTAAGGAACCTCCCAGTGAGCAAGCCCCAGGTTGGGGATAGAATTCTGCTTCTTTTCCTCCTTCTTTGTTAGCAACAAAGCTGGGGAAGGCTCTGGAGACCAAGCGTGCTGAGGAGGGCCCTGGGGCTGTTCAGCTGGAGAAGGGGAGGCTGAGGGGAGACCTTCTTGCTCTCTGCAGCTCCCTGGCAGGAATGAGCCTTGACAGGAATGAGCCTTGAGTAGCCTGATCTAGTTGAGAGGTGTCTCTGCCCATGACAGGGAGGTTGGATTGGATGATCTCTAAGGTCCCTTCCAGCCTCGGCCATTCTATGATTCTATGAATGTGTAGCCAAGGGGGGGTCGGGTTCTTCTTCCAAGGAACAAGCAAAAGGATGAGAGGAAATGGGCTCAAGTTGCACCAGGGGAGGTTTAGATTGGATATGAGGAAGAATTTCATTACAGAAGGAATGGTGAAGCACTGGCACAGGTTGCCCACAGCAGTGCTGGCATCTCTATCCCTGGAGGTATTCAAAAACCAAGTAGACGTGGCACTTCAGGACATTGTTTAGCGGTCATGATGGTGTTGGGTTGAAGGTTGGACTTGGTGACATTAGAGGTCTTTTCCAACCTTGTTTGAAACCATCGCTCCTTGTCCTATTGCTACAGGCCCTGCTAAAAAGACTGTCCCCGTTTTCCTGTAGGCCCTCTGAGTACTGAAAGGCTGCCGTAAGGGGCTCCTTTAGCCTTCTCAGGCTGAACAACCCCAACTCTCTCAGCCTGTCCTCACAGGTGAGGCGTTCCACCCCTCTCACCATTTCTGTAGTGTCTTCTGGACCTTCTCCAACGGGTCCATGTCTTTCCTGTGCTGAGGACCCCAGAGATGGCAGAAGTGCCACAGCTGAGCTCAGCCAGGCATTGCCAAGGGAGGTGCAAGAGAAGGTAGATTGAGGGCACTGTAAATCCCCTTCCCTCACCTGTAGGACTCCCTGGTACTTCCAGCAAGGTGTTGTGCTTGTGGCTGCCTGCCTCCACCACCTTGCCCCAGCATTCACAGAATCACAGAGTGTTCAGAGTTGGAAGGGACCTCAAAAGATC